AATCCATTTCCCACTCGGTAGAGAATTTGTGATGCGGAGCATTCTATGGTCATCCCCATGGACCTACCATCGTCTCACTAAGTGCCAAGAGGACCAATGACACAAGCATGCGCTAGATCTCTCGACACCGAGGTGACATCTCTCCTTAGTGATATTCCATATGATCCACTCGAGACATGGCTACTACCTAAGTCCAGAATGTTGTGCATGATCAGGTACCAATAAGGCCCTTTCGAGGCCGCACATGAGGACGGACAATTTCCCAAGCACATGGATGAAGAGGAACGACGACAGGAACCAGAGGAAGTTCCCAGGACCCGGACATCCGGCCCCTGGCCCGGACATCCGGTCCCTGGCCCGGACATCCGGCCCCAGCCCGGAAATCCGCGTCCTTCACAGAACCTCACCGAAGTCGGCCCCGCCAGCCTGGACATCCGGCCCGACGTGAGCCATCGGACATCTGGACTCCAGCTAGAAAATCCGGACCACGCCTATCCAGAGAGCACAGAAACTGGACCCTGCCAGCCCGAACATCCGGCACCCGCGCCCGGACATCCGACACCTCGGGAAGGCCCGGACATCCGGCTCCCCCTGTCTGCGCACAGTGTAAAGGGCCGAAGCCCATGTATCCCTTCGTCCCCCCTAGACTATAGATACTCCACCTTCACCTACGTTTTAGGGTTAGCATTGGTTTAGCTCATATGAGAGATAGAGCTTTGTTCATCCACTTGATACCTAATCCATTGGAGGCCAAGCCCTCCATGTAGGAGGAGATTCCCCAAGTGGATTCAAGCCATCCACCTAGGAGAAGATCCATCTTGGATTCAAGATCTCCTCTTGGAGAAGAACTAGCTACTTGTATCCTTCCTTTGTTGTCTTTGGATCTTTGTGACCTCTTTGTGTTCATGAATCTAGCACATGTGTGATTGGATCGAGTCTATTTGAGTGTTTCCTCTTGTTTCCCCTCGTGTTCCCCCCTCGTGTTCTTCGTGGGATCCCCTCCAAATCGTGAAAGATCGGCCTTAGGGTTCCACCCTACATCAGTTTGTCTAGTGTAGTAGTTCTCGGCTAAGGGTACTCAGCCTGAACCCTTCAGGCATAGCCCTCTTGAGCCTAAAACATTCTAGAGTAGCTAAAATTACAAGAAACAGTATCGCGATCCACAAAAGTGCACGCCAATTGCCAACTCTAAGATCACAGTACAAACAAATGATTAGACATAGGGGTACAACATACGTGTGATTGTCTGGTAGCGCAGGTTAGACAGGTGCTCCATAAAACAAACACTCCTTACATGAGTCGATGTTAATGGCGAGTTCTCTGCTCACCATGAAAAGAGTGCAAGGAAGAAATACATGAATATTCGTCTGGAATGCAGCACACCTTAGGTTAGACATGTGGTCCATTCTTATTTATTACATTGGACACAAACAAATAAACACGTATGCATATTTGATGCACAAACATAGATAGACAGACTATGTAACACATTCATATCTTGTCGATGAAGAATGCCTTCGGAAATAGGGAACAATAACAAGTAAACATGTGTGCTGCTGGTAGTTAAGCTCCATAACCACCACATAGTTTATCTTCTAGTAATAATCACCTGCAGGAGTACATCACTGAATGTCATCCCGAAGTTCAGACAAACAAGGCAGCTAGGAAGAATAAAGAGTGAACTCCGTGAGCAAATTATTAATCACGGAAATAAATCAAAGAATTGGGAAAGGTAAGACGTTATTAATTACAAGCATCTCGATCATTTCTTGTCCCAAACGCAGATATGATCAGTCAAATCATAGAAAATTAAATTTGGTGAGGGGGGGACCGAGGGAATATAGTTACCTCGCATCCTTTCTGTTGCAGCTCCTTCAACGTGTTGTCATCTCCAACAGAAATCAAGGGCACACTGTTTAGCTCCAGATGATCGATGGATGGAACATGCAGTAACCCCTCGGGGAGCTTGCTCATGTTAGTGAAAGAGGTGAGTATTAGGCAGGAGAGCTTTGGCATGGCTCCGGCCTCAATCTTCCACTCCTCAGTGACATGAAATCTACGAAGTTGTAAGTTCTTCATACGAGGAAAACCCCTGGTAGAGCATGACATGGTTCGACCTCCGTATCCAAGCAGCTTCAATACCACAAGACATGGGAGCTTCTCCAACATCGGCATTGGATCTTGTTTAATGTCATCAGCAGATAGATCGAAACTTCGTAGGCTTTGTGGGAAGTGATGGCTTTCAGGCAATTTATCAAGCACACTCAATCTGTTCAGGGTAATATCAACCAAGCGAGGCATGTTTACAAATATATTCATCATTTCCGCAGGGATGTGTGGACACGTACTCAACCACAAGGTTGTTAGTTGAGTCATTTGGCCCAAAAACCTCACCATATCCGGGTTGCAATATTTACCGTTAGTATGTGGAAGTACTAACCAAAAGGTTTGCAACTCTTTCTGTTGCACACCCCTTGGTACAAAATGATGATCACCAAGGTAAACATGCCTCAGAGAAGGGATATTCCACATAGAGCTTGGTACTAGTGCAATATATGTGCCCCTCGTATCAATAGTTTGCAAGTAAAGTAGTTTTCCAATTGATGAAGGGAAAGTCACATCTTGACATCTTATCAACCTGAGGCATCTTAGGTGAATGCACTCACCAATTGCCTTAGAGAAATCCTCTAGGCATGTGTCTTCAATGTGAAGAACTCGAAGATATCTGAGCTTATGGAGGGATGTTGATTGAAGTTGAAAGCCAAACAAAGCTCGGATATTGCGTGCTGCCCGCAAATTCTTGCCATTGAAGTCTTGATAAGAAAAACGATATGATACCATGATATAGGTTGATGGTGAGCCAATTTGGCCTGCAAGTGTTTTTGTTTGCCATTTGTCAACAAGAGAGTGGTATATCAAAGAGAGTTTTCTCTGCATGCCAATTATGAGGAAAATTCCCCGATACAATTGGTAACAGACTTATATCTGTGCTAGTCGTTGCAAGGGGGGCGTCAAAGAAGAGTGCCAAAAACTATGTTCCCCTAAATGCATTTCCTTTATGTTATCTCTGTGAACTTCAACTAATACAGTTTCTTCCATTTGGGCATAAAAGGTGAGAGATACTAGAAGAAAAATAATGTTCATGGAAAATAAAATACTGATTTCCAGTGTGAATTTTTTGATACTAACATCCTTGTGAATGGATATATCTCTCCAAAAGGATAGTTTAGGTGTTTCTCTATAACAATTCTTAAGTGGACTAATTGAGATCCTACAATAGAAAGAAATTGAATAGACAAAAAATATTATATACAACTACAAGTAAGGAATAAGCTTTAATTTTACTGGTGGCATGAATGAAATTAGGCTCTTTAGAGTGGCATGTTGGGAGTTTTGGGACTACTAAAATACAACTGGAATTATATTCAAACTGATGAAAGGCAACATGACCTGATGTTTTGTCAATGACATTAAGAAAACCACCATGTCTTGCCTCTTTTATGCACCAATCACGTAAAATGTCATGGACCCTTATTTCCTCAATCCATCCATGTGCCATGCTTCTCCTAGTAACTTGCACCAAGCTTCTTTGAGCTAGGTCTGCAACATATCTGCGTGCTGTTTCTTCCTGTTCATGTTTTGGTGCATGTGAAATGAAGCCCTCTGCTATCCATAGTTCAATAAGCATAGAAACATCTATTGTATAATCCTCGGGGAATGTTGCAAGATAGAGGAAGCAAGATCTTAAACAATGATCTGTCATGTCCTTGTAACTGCGAGCCAGTATGTCTCCCATCATTTTTGTGCTGTTGGTTGACGGCCAAAACAACAAAATATTGGACCATGCTTGTATATTAAAATTCTTGGATAAATAACCTCCCAAAAATGCAAGTGCGAGTGGTAATCCATCGCACTTTTTTGCAAGCATTCTCCCTAATTCCTCAAACTCACCCACATCTCCTATGGCGGACCTTCTGTATGATGGCAAAGCTTTAGTACTAAAAAGTTCCCAACTTTTCTCTTCATCTAACTCCTTGAGATCATGAACGTGAGTTGGCATTTCAATGTGATTTGCAACTTTTTGTTTGCGTGTGGTTAATAATATCCTACTACCATTATTTGAATTTGGAAAGGCTTTAATTGTTCTATTTAGTTTGTCCCATGTGTCTGTTTCCCACACATCATCGAGAACTAGCAAATATCTTTTTCGTGACAGAAACTCACTGATCGTCTTTCCCACCTCATACTCTTGCATTTGGTCAACTGGCTCGTCTTCTTCCCCTGTGATTTGTTTCATAATATCTTTTAGTAAACTAACACTCTTGAACTTTTGAGACACAGTCACCCAAGCAACTGTGTCAAAGTGCTGTTTGACTCTAGGTGAAGTGTAAACTTTTCTAGCAAGTGTTGTTTTTCCCGCCCCACTCATGGCAACTATGGATACAACACTAAGCATCTGTCCTTCATAAACTAATTTATCTGTTATTTCTTTGTACTCATCCTGAAAACCAACCATGACAACACCATCTTCATAGTTTTGGTGCATAAGTACAAAATCTTGTGGAAATTCATCCTCAACTTGACCATTCACTTCAGCAGTATTATCCAAATCAATTTTCAAATGTTCCGCACTTGAGAAAATCTCGCTGATCTTCCTTCTTACACGTCGAGTTTCTACACCAATTTTACGAAGGGTGGCCAAATCACTCGGTAGGCGAGCGTACCTTGAAATAGCACCCATGAATCCCTTCTTGAGCCTGTTTCTCTTCTCCATGTAATCTGCAGCTTCAATGACATTTTGAGCTTGGTAAGCTGCAGTTCTAATCTGGCTCACCAGGACAGCTACTCTTGCATTCCCTGATCTCCATTTGCTATCAGCATCTTTGAGGTAGGCCTGCAACCTCATCAGCTCATCTTTCAAGGAGCACACTTCAAGGGTTACTCTACATAAAAATTTGGTCTCCTGAACAGCGAGATTACCCACACTCCCAACCACAGTTTTAACAGCAGACTCGGCCATTGTATTAATCTCAAGCTGATATCATCAAGTACACCCAGCCACAGCCGACTTATACATGGGAGAATAAGTGAGAAGAAGAACCAAGCAAGCACTTGATGGTTGCAGGGGGGCCGACTCACCGAGGAGGGTGTGCCTTGATGCCTCTTCAGCTTGAGTGTGCGCCACTCAGATCATCTGGTCCATTGAGCAGCGCCGCATGTAGACTCGCAGAGACGCTGGGAGCGGCGATGGTTGCAGGGACCGACGGCGGTATGCTGGTGCACGGACCCTAGAGGGGACAAGCGAAGAATGTGTTTGTGAGTCGATGCTTTGCAGGATGCTTGGAGGGGCTATAGCTTATCCTGCTCTGTTGCTTGCCTTAGCTCAGTTCAATATGTCCAAACTAACTGCCGCACTGTGGCCGTCCAGCCTGTCTGCCTGTACGTATGTGTGATGTGTAAGTTTGCATTTTCCTAAGGACTGGTAATGCCGTCCGATTAGGAAAATAATAATATATGTGACGTACAAGTTTGAATGTAAATTTGCTAACTACTGTATTGAGATCTAACTCGTTCAAACAAAGTGTATAATAGCATCAATCGGTGACGTACTGCAGCAACAAGTAGGCCATATTATTATTGAACGAACCCAAGTAGACGATAGTTAATTAACTTAAAAATAATCAAGTTATTTTTACCAGACAGTTAATGGCCAAGACCAGAGAGAAATGTCTGTACGACTTGGCGGAGGTTGGTAGTGCTAGCAAGCAAGCACGTGAACTGACGTCTCAACAACCCACCCTGTTATGACTTACATAAGATGACAAGAAACCGAGAGTTTATGAAACCGTACTAAGATGACCTGTGAGTTGTGAATGGAACACGGTCCGTGCATACAAAGTAAACTATACCTCCACTAGTGAGTGAGACATCCTTTGTTGGCCGAGAGAAGTCAGACCAGTGGTAGGTAATATATGACCATTTTTGCTTCGGTACACCCCTCCTAAATACATTCACGGCTGAGATCTCTTTATACCCCCTTCATAATAAAGGACAGAATGATTTTCTTGAACCGCACCGATACGCGGCATGCGTACATATATGCGGTGCCATTTATTTCCATGCGGTGCCATTTATTTCCATGCGGCGCCCTCAGTTGCTTTTCACTTTCTTTTTAAAAGAAAAAAAAAGTGCAAGTAATGCGAATCAAGCTCAAGACCTCTTGATCTAAGGAGGACCACAATAACCAACTAGGACATACTAATGCTTGCACGTATTTACTTCTTTTTTTCTTCTACTTTAGTTCATGGTTGGGCTGGCCCATGGTTGAATTGGTCCTTTTATCACTATTTATTTTTTGTTTTTTGTATATGTTTTTATCTATTTTTGTTTCTTTTTTCTTTTTCAAAAATTCCCACGCTTATAAAATTTTGTTCAGACTTTTTAAAAATGCTTGCTTTTGAAAATTTTGTTCGTAAAGTACAAATATTCACATTTTAAAAAATTGTAGAGATATGTAAAAAAAATTCGTGTCTTTCAAAATTGCTTAGAATGTCATAACACGAACATATTTTATAAAGAGCGAACAAAATTTTGAACATGAACTTTTTTTGTAAAACACTATGAAATTTGAAATTTCAAGCAAAATTCAGAAAATATGAACAAAATATTGAAGCCAATTTATTTTGAATTTCCACGAACATCTTTTGTATTTGTGTAGAGAAACTTCGGATATAGGATTATTTTCTAGATTCCAAATAAAATTTGAAGCACTAATATTATTTGAAAATGCAAAATTGTTGAAATCACAAAAACTTGTGCCTTGGAATGGTGATACAAGGCCCTAGAAAATTTGATCCATTTGACCGATGTCGAAACAAAGGAACTCTGAGACGGAATCTTCCGCCCAGAATAAACGCCCTACCCGGACTTTTCCATTTAAATTAGCGGACTTTGTTTTCAAAATCATGAACTTTATTCCATATCCAGGAACACTTTTCAACTTTTACAAACGTCTTATAAAAGTCGATAAATTTTATCAAATTCATAAAACATTCTTTTTCAAGGTAGATAAACTTTTTTCAACTCGGCGAAATGCTTGGGCCAGCCCAACAGGCACCCAACGGAAGCGCTGCCATACTACTGTGTGAAATAGTGTTATGTGAAGTGTGTGGTGGTAGTGTCACAAGTTGACTCAAAACAGTAGGTGAATCGAGAGTAGAACTAGTTGGAAGGTCCTTACCTCCACTTCACTTAGAGGACATGATCTTAGTTTTGGAATCTTTGAGCTTGTTTGTTGTGAAGATAAATTGCAGGTGTTGTGGGAGAAACTAGAAGAGAAGAAGAGGGGTCGATAACCATTTTTTTACATCAATAGGACTTATTCCTCAAATAGTTTGCATGTCATTTACAATATGAAGAGAAATAAAATCAGGAAAAGAAGAAGCCCAAGTGCTAGATGATCTACTTTTATAAGTGAACTTGGCAAGCTCGTCCGCTACAGAATTCACCTCGCAAAGACAACGGATATGTGAGACTGTCGGAAAATCCATCTCTAGTAGTAGTTTACACTTCATAATTGTTGCAATCTCCGAGCCAATGTATGTAGCCACATGTTGTACTGCTTCCACCGCAAAACTACGGTCACATTCTATAATTACCTTGCTACACCCAACATGAGCTGCCGGATATAGGTTGTTCCTGATGGCGATCATCTCCGCAGAACCCACATCTGAGACATGTGGCAAGAACCAATTCATTGCTGCTATAATAGTCTCATGATCATCTCGATCGGGCAACAGCTCCAGTGCCTCCTTCAAAAGCCTCTGCAGGGAAAGATGTTTCTACATTGATTTTAACTGTTCTTCGACTCGGCCTCTTCCACACATGCTCACTCTTTCTTTCTAGGATCTTCTGTGTCAAAGCTCTACTAATTAGTGGGCACCACCATGATGGAAATGCAGTTCCCTCGGGTGTTTGGATCAATTCTCCCTTGACAAGATGTCTCCGTTACCACCAAATGTACCAGGCTGCCACTGCAATTAGCTCCGGTTGGGATAGCGTTGGAAATATGCCCTAGATGAAATAATATTATATTATTTATTTCCATGTTTATAATTAAGAGTTTATATTCTATGCTATATATAATTGCTATGATTCTGGAATATGTGATTTGGGGCAAAAACTCATAAGCATGTGTAGAATGATAAACCGTAAAACCTGATTATTAGTCTTGCCTCTAGGACTAGCTCAAGTCTTGTATGTTGAGCACGTTATTCAGATCTTGGGTATTTTTTTTAAGAGTATAGAAAAACCGAAAACAACATTGAGAATATGATGTTAGAAGAACGATCATACTGAATTGACTCAAACTTGTTGCCGTGAAGCGAAATGGAAGATGAAGCATACCCAAGTCTTCTATGTATCTCGATGGGAGGATCAAATTCAACTATGTGGGGGAGGTAAACCAGTGAAGGTGAATCTCTTCAATGAGGCAATTTCTCTACGAGCTTGCTTCGGTACACCCCCATTCCCTCACAAACCGCGTAAGGATAGTATAGTCATTTGACCCTAATGTATTCACATCTCCATATGTGGCACGTACGAACGTGACGTACACATACGATCCGCCTGCCCGTTATAAACATCCGTTCTGGGCCTGGTCCATTTTTTCTCTTTTAAAGATCAAAACATAGGTGAGAGAGGTAGGATTTGAACTACGAATCTCTTAGTTTACATCCCCCGTCCTCTACTTTGTTGTTGCAAGTTTTACGTGGCTGCTACGGGCTGAGCAAGAACCGTTCTTACCTACGCATCAAAACCACAACGATATTTCGTCAAGTATGTGCTGTTTTAACCTTCATAAGGACCGAGCGTAGCCATACTCGATTCAACTAAAGTTGGAGAAACTGACACCCGCCAACCACCTGTGTGCAAAGCACGTCAGTAGAACTAGTCTCGCGTAAGCGTACGCGTAATGTTGGTCTGGGCCGCTTCATCCAACAATACCGTAGAATCAAAGTATGGCATGCTGGTAAGCAGTATGACTTGTATCGCCCACAACTCATTTGTATTCTACTCGTGCATATAACATCTACGCATAAACCTGGTTCGGATGCCACTGCTGGGGAACGTAGTAATTTCAAAAAAAATTCATACGCACACGCAAGATCATGGTGATGCATAGCAACGAGAGGGGAGAGTGTCGCCCATGTACCCTCGTAGACCGTAAATGGAAGCGTTATGACAACACGGTTGATGTAGTCGTACGTCTTCATGATCCGACCGATCTAAGTACCGAACACACGGCACCTCCGAGTTCAGCACACGTTCAGCTCGATGACGTCCCACAAACTCACGATCCAGCAGAGCTTTGAGGAAGAGTTCCGTCAGCACGACGGTGTGATGACGGTGATGATGAGGCTACCGACACAGGGCTTCGCCTAAGCACCGCTACGATATGATCGAGGTGGATTATGGTGGAGGGGGGCACCGCACACGGCTAAAAGATCAACTGATCAACTTGTGTGTCTATGGGGTGCCCCCCCTCCCCGTATATAAAGGAGTGGAGGAGGGGGAGGGGCCAGCCCTCCTAGGCACGCCCCAAGGGGAGTCCTACTCCCACCGGGAGTAGGACTCCAACCCTTCCAAGAGTAGGAGTAGGAGAGAGGGAAGGAGGAGAGAGGGGGAAGGAAAGGCCCCCCCCCTCCTTGTCCTATTCGGACTAGAGGGGGAGGGGGCGCGCGGCCTGCCCTGGTCGCCCGTCCTCTTCTCCACTAGGCCCAATAGGCCCATTA